TAATATTTTATTTATTGATGTGAAAACAGAATTACAAAATATATTATCTTCGAGTATGTTGGTATCTAGTTGGTATCTTGAAATCAGTGAGTTCAGAAACAATGGGAAAATCATAGCGATGATGTGGAATGATAGACGAAGAGAAATAGAAAAATCAACAATAATAATCAACATTAAACTATAGATCAATAGGACGTACGACAAAGTAACCTTTCATCTGACATAATTTCTAATGGGTCGTGGTGGTTTCACCGATTGCCTACATGCGATTAGGTGGACAGGAAGCCTGATATGTGTTAACTATGAAAATAGAACAAGGCATATTAAAGTGCGATTGTTGGTGGAGAAATCACAATAAGACAGTGGTTCGAGTCAAAGTCAGTTATATGGTGGATGTTTCGGCAAAAAAATAAGAGAACGTGGGCAGTGATTTTATTTCAAAGATCCTCTCAGCAAGAAAATAAAAGGAGAGAACTGGGCAGAGAATGGATCACAATCAATTTGATTAAGTCTAGTCTTGTCTAGTATGGGCTTGTAAACTTGATGGACGATTTTTAATGAGCAATAATGTAGATTGAAGAAAGAAATGCATTCATGGTAGTTCTCCTTGGTTTAACGATTACAACTTTAAAAAGGGGTGAAAAAGAAAAAACATACCTACCCCATCCTTTTTCTAGTCTTCCTAGTCTTCGTTTCCAGATAAGGCCTTATATATGACCCTTTTTGTTAAGTTATGGTGACGCAATGAATGATGCCCTATCATGCTGTTTCTTCTGGCTTATATATTATAATGCTCAAGGTTCTCGTTGTGTTGAGTTGGTTATTGCAAGTGAGTGTACTGTACAACACATGTATACCTTTATACAGTAGTATAACACGTATTACAGTTGTGTAATAATTATTTCAACTTTTTTTTTTTAAATATGTAAATACAAAATACTGAAATATCGAAACGCCCACGGAAGTTAATAATATTGTCATTGCGTTTTTACACTATATATACTACAGACAGGGTAAACATAAATTTCACCCGAGTGTCGTTTTAATCAAATTAAAACTGTGACGCGCATTCGTTTTCATAATAATAATAATAATATTGTTTGTTCGTTATTTATAGCACATAAATTAATATTTCGTTCTAATAAAGTATGAAGATGTTTTTTTTTTTTTTTACTGTCCCACCAACGCCATTGCTACAGCAATAAAAATGTTGAATTTTCAAATATTTGTATGTTTTTTTTCAAAACGTTTAGTTATTTGAGATAAATATAATATCATTTTCTTCTCCTTTGTCTTTAATTCAACTATTGAAAGTCAACCCTTAAACCTAAGGTTCTAAATATTCACTTGACCCGATCTTCCAACTCACATATACTGAATTAATTACTGAATATTATCAATTGCATCCAACTACCTCTTTTTCGGTCTTTTTTCTCAATCTTTCCTCCTATCTTGATTTTTATAACAGAACAGGACAATTTACGGAAATAGTGCGTTTATTATCATCTTTTTTTTTTTTTTATTCAGATAATGACATTCGTAGTTAAATTATTTTGACACACTTGAGCCATTTTTGAGCTATTTATAGGCATTTTAATTTCGCAAGTTTTTATTTGATAGATACTATGTAAATATAATTGTTTGACCGAACAGAAATGTATGCAAATTTAACAGGAGGTTCATATTAGGAGTCGATATTTTTTTTGTTCCTATTTTTATGTATATAGTACAAAAAATGTATTTTTTTCTATTCTGTAATAACAGTGATGTTGTTATTTTTGTTCTACTGCTGATATCCTACACTAACGCAAAGAAATAATATGAGGAAAAGTGGAACGAAGACATTGTTGAAAATGTTTAATCTTTGTAACAAACGCGTGGCGATTTTAATCAAATTAATTGATTTTATAAGAGAATGCTGAGACTGTGTCAATGTATAAAGTTACGTATTAATGGGCACCGCCACCGGGTGTTGTTGCTCGCTAGACGAAATAATAAACACATAAAAACACAGCGAATAAATTTCCAACAGTTTTTTCAAATAGCGGGAAATCTTTAATCATGTCGTGTTTTCAACTATAATACGGTCGCTTTACCAGTGCTTGTTTGGAAAATCAGCACTACGCCGATGAAAATTGGGTTTTCATCAGCTTATTTCACCATCGTCACTTATTATAGAAGGTTGATGAAGTGGGATAGAAGCTATGTATAGATTAAGTTCAGAGTTTCGACGCTTGGTGATAAGTGATATTACTATCACTAATATAATAATATTGTGCAATATGCAGTTATTACGAACAGTTATTTTATAAAATATTATTTAAAAACACATTAATTAGGATAATAGATAATTTCTTGATAAATTATCTATACAGTTAAATATGTATTATCAACTTTTTATATCTGGATAAAAAAAGGTTTCCGATTCTGAGTGAAACAAGTCTGTAAATAACTTTTCTGCTAGATATTTTGCTCCAATCGAAAACTTTATATGAACTTTCTTGTAGGATTTTTATCTAGACATTGGAGAAGTTATTTCTTGATTTTTCTTTTAATTTTCTTAATAAATGTGAAACCTAGCAGTATATTATATAATTTTTTTTAGTGAGTACAAACATGATATTTCTTTTTTTGTCATGAAAATACCTTCCAACTTTACTTTAACTTAATGCTTATAAATATAAATGGTTTGCCTTTGAGTGAATGGATTCCTAAATAATGTATAAAGAGTCGGATAGTCAATCATACAACTGCTAACAACAAATGATCCAGAATGGTTAACTCTACCATTACTACTACTTTCTCAAAGAAAAATTGTGAAGTATTCCTTAACTTGATTGAAAAGTTATTAAATTATATAAATTACATAAGTTGTATTTGTAATTTATTATTTTATATTTTTTTAAACAACCCAAATTAAAAAATTATTTTATAAGTAATAATATTAATGAAAAATTGGCTGGCCTTTGAAAACAAATTATAAGGGGAATGTGGAGTATTAGTGTACCCACTATTTAAGATTACGTAACTGGTTATAGGTTAAGACAAAGGTATAAGTTTAAAGTTTAAACTATTCATTATGTTATCAATACCTGCAAAGTGGTTAGTGGCAAAGTGGTTTTAGTAAACTTTCGTATTGTTTTACACAAAAAATGAAATTCCAATTATATAATATACATATATATATACATAAAAAACTTTTACATTTTAACTGAAAAGAGTTTAATTTATAAAGGAGTTTCACTACAATAAAACAAATTAAATATTACGTTAGCCCCGGTAATTTATTCAATTACAAGGTATAATTAGAAAATGTTAAACAACCTGCTCAAAATATTATTATTTATTATGTATAACCCGTGATTAAAAGTAATGCATAAATCCGCCATCAATAACAAAATAATACAAAAAAAATCTACATTTTTAAATTTGATATTATTAGACATGATTATTTATTTGTTTTTTAAGATTTTAATCAAATATATACAGTTTAAGGACTAATTAATTAACTTAAATTTTTGTATCCATGGAAAATCATTATAATGGTAGAATATAATATTATGTTTCCATTGTAACAAATTATTGTTTATTAAGTGGAGTGATAAAACTGAAGAAAATAGAATACCTACTATAAAACGGCTGTTTCCTCTTAATATGCTGGGTGTTTCTGAAAAGTGTGACGCCACTATCATATTTATATACTATATACTTGGTGCAACATACTTTTTCTACCTCCAAAATCTTGATGGTTTTTTTTTACATTCAATCATAAAATATTTTTGTGTAAGTTTAATATTCCACTAAATTTCTTGCGAATTCCTTATAAAAACCAATATGATGTCACGTCATTTTCACACGAATTTGACTCTTAAATGCCTAATGTCGCCATTATGAAAAAAGTGATGTTTGTAAAATCTAAATACCTAATTAATAGTCAAAAAGTTTGAATTAATTTTTAAATAAAATTTACCTATTCTTGTGAATTTTATTATGCCATATAATATTATAAGACAGATATGATAGATGTAAATAAACTAAAAATTATACGGCGGTAGGTACCCCAGAAAACTTATCTCACATAAAATTTTTACTATTAAAAGTGATTTTTTTTCTGTCAGCTAACAACTTTTCTATCAGAAATCTTGTTTCGATTTTCAAGAGTAGAATTTTCTGACTACTGCAGCATAGATGGGATCTTTTTTTTTTATTTTTTTGTAATGTACTTAATTTAATAATAAAATAAAATTTATAAAAAAGATAAAATGTATGGAAGTAACAATTTATTTTATTATTCTGACATTTTAAACTTAAACATCATAAATTCAATATTAATCGAAAATGTATTTATGTTCGTGATATGGCAAAATTTTTCATTAAGACCATGTATAATATATAATACAATGTCTATGTTTTCAACAAATTAAATAAATTTGCGTTTAAAAACAAATGAATCATTAAAATAATAATAGCATAACATAATATGTGACGATTAGTTCAGAAACATGACCCAGAGGGGAACAGCGATTTTCGAGAAAATAGTCGATATTTGTTTTGTTAGGTATAGATAATAATAATAATAATAATAAATCATTTGAACTTCATGAGAGCCTACGAGAAACTTGACCCTCTCTCAGACGTTTTTTAATTACGTATGGTTTTCAAAGTAAAGATATATAGAATAAATATTGTTTATTATTTTTAGATTTTGAACGGCGTGAGCTTGAACCGATATGTTTGAAAAAAATATATGATTAGTGATAGATAATAACACATAAAATTCCGAAAACACACAGTGTTTTATATTATAACAATTATTTAAATTGGAAAAAAAAAAGTGTACATTGAACAAAATCTAAAGAAATCATATAGACTAAATAATTGTGAGCACAACTGGTATTATAATTTGTCGAATACTTTTATCGAGAAAACTTTAGGTATTCCAGTACCAATTCCGTTAGGATCTCACTATTTTATTATTGAACCTATAGTCATAATCATAACTCAGACTAGGATCGTCGAATTCCTTTTATATTTCATTAAACATGGCATTGAACAGTATAATTAGGACTATGTCAGGGGGTGTCTTCTAGTTAGTTTCACGTGGAAGGAGGCGAAATATTGATATTTATAAGACAATTTTTTTCTTGAAATTAAAATTTATAATTTTAGTTAATACATATTTAATAACCTAAATGTGAAACATTAGGTGGCGCATAGGATGGGTGATGGGAGGTAGGGTTAATTACCCGGAAACATACCTCAAGACCATTCTCGGTTAGATTATAAGAGTCGCCGTTCAGTTCTCCCATCACATTTCGGATTTCATGTTTGAGTTGTGTGAGATCAAGGGGATTATTCTCGTACATTCTTTACTTAACATAACCCTCAAAAAAAAATTCACTGGGGGTTAGGTCACAAGATCGTATTGACCATCTTTGGTCTCATCGCAATGAGATTAGTCCGTTCGGAACTCCGGAGATCAAAACGCGCGTTTCTATAGGCAATCATTCTATGGTTACGGACGCCTTCAAAACACACGAAAACTAAAACCTACGATATAATACCAAACTTCAAGTTTTTGAGATAAGAAAGCTTTTGGGTACAGTGGTACCAATCCAAAAATAAATAAAAAGTACATTTAAAAAAAAAAAAAGTTCTTTCGTGGATACCTTATACTTAATCAGTTAATTACTTCATTTTCATTTCAAGACAGTTTCTTTTTATGTTAAAATGATAGAAGTAGGGATGGCAAAAAAAATACTAAGGTGCGGATCAGACACTCAAATCCCCCCCCCCACAATTACTCCATTATAGACATAAGATTACATCGTGGATTTTTCGTGTACATTTATTATTACGATATTAGCTCAACTAAGGAAGGACTTGAGTCTACTTAGCCCACCCAATTTTTACAAAATTTATAATTCGCATACATTACTATCGTTGGCGATATTTAATATGTTAGAGGCAAATCAGTGAAAATTCTGAAAATCTCTAATGCAAAAGTCGTGATTTATCTATCTATAACGCTTTGTTGTGTAATAAAAAATAAATAAGAAATAAAGAACAGCAAAATAGCTATAATAGTATAGTAGGTAAATAAAGCCGTCGGTTTGTAAAATTGACTCGTTGGTATGACATGTTGACATACCTGTTTTTTTAGTGATCCATATCCAAAGGACTCATGTGATAAAGTAACAAACGCATTGTATTTTGTATTATTGAATGGTTTATTACATGATATTTTTGCATATCGTGTTTGAGTGACATATATATATATATATTACACTTGTTAATGATTAACTGTTTCATATTGTAAAGAAGTTATTGACCCTAACGTGTATCCTAGTTACATTTATATTACGAGAATATATTATAATTATACCTTACCTTTATTTTCTAATCAGGGTGCTAATCGGTACTCAAAATATGTGGAATGAAATAATATACTGAGTGTCCCACAAAAATATACCCATTGTCATATTTCCGGATATAATAAAGATAATCAAATTCTATTTTTTTTAAATTTTTTTTTTTTATTACTCACGTAGAAAAAGACTGCAAATTTTGATATTTTAATTAAATTTTTATATTTTGATAAGAAAATTAAAAAAAAAAATTATTTGTATTTCATTATTTTAAACAAATTTTTAGATAGTAATTTTATAGAATTTATTCTTCTGAAAACTTAGACGTTTCAATTACCCGGAGTAGATATGTACAGAATGTAAAACACAGCAATATAGATAAATATACTACGAAGCGAGTTTTGCGACCGTAATATATCATGGACCTGTTCAAACCACACCGTGACAATATATTGTATATAATCTGGGTACAGGCTATGTACAAAAAAAAAGAGCTGACACTGGGGACGGGTGTAGCCACTGTTGTAGATGTGAAGTTGGGAAGGTAGGATACATAAGGTTATTTCATTTATATCTGTAAGCAACGATAAACCATTGCTGACGAAAGACGATTCCGAGCGCAGTTCGGTGATACATAATTTGAAGTACCGTAATTTTTTTTAACCTAACCTTCCTACGCTATTCCTGATTTTTATGAAAACTAATTTGAAAATCGAAAAATGATCTGCATCATTAAAAACAAGACAAATAGTTCAACAAAAAAAGTCACTTATCGTTTTTCAAATGGAACCATATTTGTGCTAGAAAACATGGTAGGTACTTATTTAAAATAACGAAATCGTGAAAAAATCGTAGTTTTTTTCCCTGTTAATCATTTTTATTTTAAATACCGTTTCAAAAATCAAAAAATGACCTATGTATTTACCAATTAGATAAAATTGATTTTCAGAAAAGGTGCTACACTAATACAACGAATCAAGTATACTAGGATAAAAGTGGTCTACAGTATAAAAAAAAATACAAAGTACCACTGTAAAACAATTAAAAAAGGAAAAAAATTCGTCCGATGATTTTTGGAAATTTTACCACGTCTAGGTAAATTCAATAAAATATTATTACCTGAAACTTTTCAGGTCTCTACATATATTTATAACCAAATTATTGCAAAAAAAACTCCCTTAAAATTTCTTAAAAGCTCAAANAGTGGCTCAAAAGTTTTGGTAGTGATATAGCAAGAAATTAAATCAAAAAGGCAACAAAAAATGTATCTTGTGATTTTGTGATTAAAACATTTTTTCTGGTAGAAAACGTCGTCCGTGTTTTTATAAAACAATGAAATGCAATTGTACGTTTTCCTATGTTTTTTCCCACTTCAGTACTTTTATTTAAAAAATATTCTTATTGAAGTACAATCTAGACAATTTGAGCTTTCAGAAAAGGTGCTACACTTATACATTAGAGCAAGTTTACTAGGAAAAAACGTGTCTACGGACTAGAATAAAAAAAAATAAAAAGCATTGTAGAACCAATAGATCCCTCGCTACGCTCGTAATCTAAAAACACGTTTAAATTTAAGTCGAATGCATAGTGACAAGTAATACAACTGCCAGTTATAAGAAAGTTGAATAAAACAAAATACATATTACAACATTCTGCTTAAAGTATCTGCAACTAGCGAAAATTGAAAAGCCCGACCTCGGTTCAATAAGTAATAAAAACAGTTCCATAACTATTTATTGAACTGGTAATACTCTTACATATTTATTTCCGGTAGCCGCTACTTGCTTACTTGTTGGTTATTAACTTAGTTTATCCTGCGGTTAATGTATCTAAATACATAATTTCAAAATAATGATAACAAATAATGATCGATTTATAATTTATCAAATATATCACAGTACAACGACCAGGGTAAGTTATCAAATAATTAAATTTAATAAATAATTATATTTACGTTGAACATTTTTTGCAACAGTACTAAATAGAGCCGATTAAGATTTTTGTATAATAGTTTATCGACCCACTAGCAAACATTATCGATCGTTTATGCAACCCGGCAATATCTAATACAAATATTAATTAATAAAATATTGTTTGTTCCTAAGTAGGTACCTACTAGTATTGTGTCTAATATAAAAATACAAATTTGATTTCATTAGTTTATATAATATATACCTTACCTAACCTATATTATAGGTGTACAAATTTAGATTTCTAACAAGACCTTAAAGTTTATAAAATTTTATGAAAATAAAGTCCGTTGGAAAATAAAATAAATAAATTTAGATATAGGTATTTATATAAATATATATGGAGCCTCGCACAATTCTGCACCGGGTCCCGAAATCAATCGGGCCGGCACTGCTATTACTACAGTTGATTCACTACAGTAAGGAAATATAAAATCCACAATAAGCTATCATTTAAAAACATTTATCAATGAATAATGGTAGGTAATTATCATATAATTATATGTAGAATTTCATCATCAATTATCATTATCAACTGTCTATATTATTCATATTTATACATTACATTTTTTAGAATTGTCTTTCCTGGAAACTTTAAAATTGATTAGTCACTCGATTTGAACATTCTAATCACTGATGATATTTTATCAAGAAAATAGCTATAAATATTTCTAGTCTTCATCGATGTGAATAATAAAAAAAAAAACAGAATTTGATTATCTTTATTACCTCAGGAGATATTCAAGGGCTATATCTTCACGAGACAACAGGTATACATTTTAAATATTGACAATCAAATACATTTATAATTGTGCACATGTATTGTGACTTGAATATTTGTATAATAGAATACTCGTATGAAATAACCTACAAATGGTCAAATCACGGCTCAAAGTTCAAAAACATATTTTTAAAATCATTTACATAATAATAAAACCAACCTATAATTCGATGACACATTTTAAAAACCTACTCACGTTATAGATATTATCTTTTTTATTCGACAATTTTTTTTTTTTTTAATTTTTCATAAACACGAAACCCAACTATGATAATATTATAATACAAACAAGTCTGTTTTTGATCTCTACAATTTTCATGTTTTAAAAACATCGTACATTGTATTCTATAATCTATAAAATATTAACTATGTAGGTATGTATTCGTATGATTTTATAATATTTATAATATTATATGATATTATATTTTAAAAAACAAAGACATATTTTTGTACTTTAAGTGCGTCACTGTTGTAGGTGGGAATTTGGAAAGATATACTTAAGTTTAGTTTATTTCTGTACGCAATGACAAATTATTGCAATCAAAAACGATTCTTAGCTCCATATAGTGATATGATTTAGTTCCGGTATTAGTTTGTATTTTATTTCTGTAGCCAAGGTTGAGAGAAGGAACATATTTTTGAATAAAAAGTATACCACTGATCAAAGAATCTACATATTTTAATATGTACGATGAGAATGATTTCGGGCTTTTTTACAAACCGAAAAATGTTTTTCAGGAGAAAAATAATGAACCTCTGTAGAAGATAACTACGGAAAAACTAACTGTAGAAAAATATTTTGAGCAAAGTACCACACGGGCATCTACTCGTGATATTTCGGATCTTTTAAGATTGGCACTCGAAATTTCACGAAAAAAAATTACCCATCATCAAGTAGTAATAATATTACTTTCATATACATTCTCGGATATACGTTTAGATGTTTCGATTTAACATTCGTATGCAATTTTAATCTATTTGCATTGTATCTGTAGTGTGTATTGTGTACTTGTGTAATGTGTACGCATATCACGCCCAAACAAACTGTACATCGGTAACAGTTTATTTGCGCGCTAAACTATCACGAAAAAAACCTTTCGCTAAACATTTGCCGTATTATCCAACGAAAATCCATGCAAATTTGATTCGTTATTGTTCTATACATATATCGTACGTACTATATGTATTTTTGAAAAGTAATCTGCATCTATGGAGATGATACCAAGGTTTACTGACAGTGTTGAAATCTTTATTCTTTTTTTTTATTTTTATTATTTCACAGATATTCACAATAAGATACGATCACAATGATGCTTGTGGGTTCAAATATTATTAGTATTTTGTATTTTATTTTTTGTATAACCTAACTCGTCCACTAATTTCGGTTGAGGCATCACAATCGTCAGTCTTCGTAATCATCGCCACGTCACTGGGTCATACAATTAGTTTGATGTAAAAAATGACGTCCTAGGATAATGGGAACGGGTGCAGTTACTCTTATAGGTAATTTATTATATACCTTTAGCAACGGTAAACCATTGCTCACAAAAAAACGATCCTGAGTGAAGTTCAATTGATAGTGATGCTTTGTCAACAATATATTTGCCATAATAAAGTAAAATAATTAAATAGGCTATGTATTATTTTTTTAATAATATGTGTTTGATATGGTACGGATTTCCCCGGTTTTCCTACGTTTTTCCCGGTTTTCCCATGTTTTTTCCAGTTTTTCACATTTGCTAAGAAAATTTCCAGAGAAAATCGAAAAATGACTTCTTTAAAGTACATTCCCAGTGAAATTTCTTTTTAAAAAAATTGCTATCATTAAAAGTTGGAGTGAAATTGCTAGTAGAAAAGTAATCCACAGGAAAGAAAAAGGGAATACTATTCTTAGCTAATATGCCTACACTTTTTACGTTTTCCTGTTTTTTTTCTTCAGTTTTTCGCATTTGGTGAGAAAACTCTTGAGAAAATCGAAAAATAACCTGAATGGTAT